CCATATTGTATCCACCATTTTGAATTTTTTAAATCTGACTTCAGATTCGTAATCAGTCACTTTTTTTGACCATGCCATTCGAAAAAGCGACCCTAAAAACGTAGGGATATGTCCTTGTAGAATTTTAAATAATTTTGTTCTTTCAATATTATGAGCTTGAAACTGAAGTTAAAAATCTGCACATTTGGGCGTTGAAGGGTTAATACAAATTGAGATTTATTTGAATCTAACACTGCTTTGTTTTGATGCAAATAAATTGAGTATTTGGACTATATTTAAAGCAATTAAAAGTATATTAGTCTGAATTAACATAATAAATTATGAAGAATAATTGCATATTTGATACAAATAAGTATTTAGTTATTTTAAAAACAATATTTTATTGATGCAAATAAATATTTATTTGAATTAAAAACCATGCATTATTGAATCAAGTAATTTTTCTATAACTGATTTAAAGTAATATTTATTAGATCCAATTATTTGACTCAAATAATTCGAATTTGCTACAAATACCTATATATTTGATACTATAAATTAAAATATTTATATCCAGTAAATATTTACTTAGCACAAATAAATAAAAACAAAGAAATAAGTAATAACAAATAAGTTTAATTACAACCGAACGAGCGTTAGCGAGTGAGCTATATGTAGCTAGTTGTATATTATTCTTTGAATATTTATGAAGAGAAACAGAGTAGTCCAGTGTCACGTGCCCGTAACTTGTTATAAATAATATAAAGTATGATGAAAATTATAATTAAGAAATTGTCCAAAATTAAAAGAAAAGAAGATATGTCACACATGTCACGGGTGTTGATTCATAAGGCGCCGGCTAAGAAACAACGGAAGTATACCTGTAGTGTGTTATCGATTATTCTCGCTAGCATGCTATCGATTAAATAGCCCAGCATGGGCTCCCACATAAAAAACTTGAAGAAATTGTGACTATAAAAGACCCCCATTTTTGAAGAGTGACCAGTAGTTAATTTTCCTCCGTTTCAATTGTGTCTTCAGCAGTAGTCAATTTTCCTTCGTTTCAATTGTATCTTAAATAGTAGTTAATTTTCCTGCATATATTTTGTATCTTCGGTCTCATCTAATATTTCAATCTTACTGATTAGTAATTATTCCGAAGTTAGTACTCGGTTAATCTTCAATTCTCCACTATATTTTAAATCCTTGTAAAATACTGTTAAAACTCTTGACATACAATCAAATAATTGTGTGCCAACCATGGGACAACCTTGTGCCAACTGTTCGCCAATATTGTGCTAAAGAAGTACCAATCAATTGTCAACCAGATACCAATCTTATGCCAAAGAAGTACTAATCAATTGTCAACCAAATACCAAATCAATTGCCAACCAAGAGCCTACTAATTGCCAACCAATTGTTGATCAACTATCTACTTCTTTAAAGAGTTTAAATTATTCAAGGAATTTAATCTTGGTAAGTAAACCAAATTATTCTCTTATTTTAAAGATTCTTGAATTAAGTATACTAAGGTATAATTCTGCTTTCAGTGGAGTTATACCGAGTTTTGGGAAAACTACTCACCTGCCAATTTCTTCGAGAACCTGTGTATTGTGTGATAAAATAAAAAGGACAGATTATCTTTAACCTAAGCGTTTGTTTTCTTAGCCTGTTCCCTTAGTTCAAAGCTTTCCGCTTTGTAAATAAATCAGGCAAAAACTTTACATACCAGTACTGGTCTCCTTCTGAGACGTAACACCAGTCAAAAAATATTAATTTTCAACAATTTTACAGGAAATCTACGAAAAAAAGTTTTTTTTCCATGCAAAATACATGCAAAATTTCAATAGCCTACAGGCACCACTAAATATTATTTAAAAAAAAAATAAAAAATACGTTTCTAATTTTTTTCAGTTTGTGACAAAATGAGACCCAGAAATGGACAAAATTCCAATATGTCGTTTTTAACGGCCACCCTAATACATATATATATATAAATTTCTCAAAATTTTAATTAATTCTAATTTTTATTAGTTTTAACTGTTATTACTTCAAATTTTAGACAATTTAATATTAAAATTTTTTGAGTTTGAATTTAATTTTGAAAATTTTTTGGCAATTTATTTATAATTTAAAATTAAGAATAAAATTATTTTTTAAAAATTAAAAAATTTTATAGAGATTTTATAACTAATTATCATTAAAAAATGTTATTTTAAAAACTATAAAATATTTTGTATAACTTTTAAAAAAATGATTTTTTTAAAAATTAATATTCAGTATATTGACATTTCTCACAAGCGCAGTTTTAATCTGCTCAGTTAGTATATAAAGAAACTTAATTCTTTTATCTACAAGTGCGAGTTATATTGTATATGCGTTGCGTCAGCATTCGTTTATATGTATGCGTATTTCCGTTAAGTTAGTGTTAGAATAAAATAAGCCAATCAAAGCGAACCATTGCGTTGTAGAGTGCAGTCACATGTGTCGAACCAATCATTTATCTCCTATAGGAGACGAGAAAAAATGGTCTTGAGAGGTCATTGGTACTTTAAGAAATTCTTTTTTTTTTTTTTATACCGACAGATTGGCTCAGTCGGATAAGTGCCTGGCGTTGGTGGTCGTTTAAGGACCAAGGGTATAAGTATCCTTGGTTCGCGCCCACTTGGCTTGGTATTTTTCAGGCACGTGAGACAATCTGAGCGGGAGGTTTGACGTCGAGGTATAATGATGTGCACCGTCGATTATTGTCCGGTACACACCAATTAGAACTCGACTGTCGATAAACCGGTTGTACTCAGAGAGGTTTTCTACAGTTTCCCTCTTCTCTGGCGAGAAAACCCATTGACGGGTGGTCCAGGCGTAATGCGAGTACTCCTAATAAAGTCGGCTGTAGACGCAAAATTAGGTTAATATATAGAAAATTTCTAAAGTAGAATGGTTATGCTTAATCCAAAAAAGTATTTCTCGGGGACTCTTGTCGAAGTGCGTAAGGCCAATAGGGCAGGAGTATAAACAATAAAAAAAAATTCTTTTTTTATCCCACATGCACAAAAATGGCACTTTCTGATAGCAGACGACAGGGAGGAAAGTCATTCATTTCTTCGACCGTATGAAAATGGAGGCCGTGTTCTCCCAAGGGCAAGAAAATTAGCTGTTCACATACATTTTTCTTGCCCATGGGAGAAAACGGACGCCATTTTCATACAAGTCGAACAAGTGAATGACTTTTACTCCCTCTCGTCTGCTATCTGAAATCGCCGCTTTCGTGCATTAGGAATAAAAAATATCGTAAGTAACACGAGAATAAAGGCAGACAATTTCTTTACGATGATTTTTGTGACACTTGTTCCGGTCTCGGGGCGCCCTCGACCTCCACGCGTGTCACAAAAATCACCGTAAATAAATGGCTGCCTATATCCTCTTGTTGCTTAATATACTATTTCTGCTTCATTCGTTTTTTATCCGTGAATATTTTTTTCCGTGGCGCATGCGCTTCAGGCTAAACATTTTAAAAAACTCTTGAATTAGAACGTCCAACCGATCATTTGTGAATTCCACAGAAGTTTTTTTGAGTTTTCGAGAAACGCAGTCATCATATATTACTATTGATTCTGTTTTAACTTATACTAAACTCCTCTCCGTATCCGCTATTCCAAAACTAGTTTCGTAAAATGTACTAAATTAATTTTTTTCGTGTGATTGTCTTAGTTTAATTAAGTGATAATTCTGACTCAAAAAAAATTGTGGTGGCTGCCATAAAAAGTTGCATGTCACCATGAGTGGACCACTGTTTATAACCATAAGTGCACGGGAAAAAATTTTGTGTATAAGCTGCCCACTAGTGGCCACGCACTGCTGTCTATACCTTGTGTGTAGCTGGTATCCAACTTCGGGACATAAAGCAGAGTCTACAATGAGAGAAGGTGCGCATCGATGTTCATAGCTATAGATATACCACAGCATGCTTTAGTATACCTATAGCTATGAACACCGATGCGCATCTTCTCTCACATTGGAGACTCAACTTAAGATACCCACTAACAGCGCACTGGTTTCCAACTTCGGGACATGAGATGCCCATTAACAGCGCACGCGCTGTAAATGCCTAACCCATGTGAAATGTGTACGAGTTGTCTGTAACGTGGGTAGCTGACGCTTATAATCTGAGCCGCTGCTATACGTAGTCTGTAGAAACGCCGCTGCACAGTAAAAAGTACAGCGCTTACCCAAAATTTTTTCCCATGTGGACTGCTTTTTTTTAAAAGTCAATTGTTTTTTCCAACTAAAAAAAATCAAAGCTATTATGGTATAAACACTAATCTATAGGGATCTAAACTAAAGCTTGGAATAGAAACCTCCGATTAATTTGCTTTCATAAATAATTTTTTAGAAAAAAAGCTTAGGCGGTCCACTCAAGGTAACATTACCCTACCTAAAAATAGGCATATTTCAATGGGATTTTACAACTGCTTCTTCCCCCTTAAACAACTTTTCTCATAAACTTTTTATTTACTCAAAATTATATAAATAAAAACAGTTTTAATAATATTACGGATAAACTAGGCAAAATATATTTAATTGAAATTCAAGACTAGTTTTGGATTAAAATGTGAACAAATTATAGTTTGAAATAATTATAAAAGTAGAGTGGCTCAGCAATGGTTCACGAATCTGATTGGTTAAGGGGGCGTGGCTTATTTATAGTTCACGAATCTGGTTGGTCGAGAGGGTGTGGCTAAGGGGCGGGGATGGGCGTATGTGTAGGAATAGTTCAGAGCTGTGATTGGTTGGATTATGGTTCATGTTTGTGATTGGTTATGGGTGGGTCTTGGAAAACTGGAAGTAATGGGCCCAAGATGGAGTAGGAAAATGGTGGAAAATGTACTACGTGAAAACGGACAAGTGAGCGGTGAAAATAAAGGCGACGTTTTGCTATAAAGTGTCACAGTTTATGAGTATAGTTTTTGGAAGTACAAGGTAAAATGTGCAGGTGTACAGCAGGTAGACCACCCGCAAGGCATAGTTATAGAAAAGGTAAGTTGCGTGAAAAGGTATTTGAGCGGGTTGAGAAGATGAAATACACAGTATTTTAAATGATAGGTAAGTTTTATTATAATATTAAAATACTTAGTACAAATGAAGTAGTTAAAATTATGTAACTTGTTAAATTAATTATATGTAATAAAGTAGTATTTTTCATGATTATTTAATAATAGATTGTGTATGTATTTTTTTAAATATGTGTAATATAATTTTTACAATTGATCGCTAATAGACTTGACAACACCGTGTGCAATGAAATCATTTTGAACATAAATGAGTTCAAGAAATACAATATCAAAATGTAGTGTAATAAATGTGTTTTCTAATTTTGTTTGAACTTGTCTTTTAAACAAATCAAATTTAGCGAGTAAAAGTTGTTTTATAAAATCTAAATAGTGAAAAATAATTTTTTCAGTTAAAATATAATTCGAAACACTTTGAATTAGTGCTTGTGTACAAACTTCAACATTTTTTAATAAACGCTCTAGTCTACGAAAACGTTCATCGACACACACAATAATATTTTTGAGTCCTTGGAAAGTACTTTTTTGCATTACAATGGAAGGAGTGTAGATTTTTTTCTTTTTTGATTCACCACATACATTTTCATCTTCTTCATCCACAATAGCGTCGAAAATAATAGCTTTTGATCCGTATGCACTGGAAAATAGAAGACGATATTTTCCTAAAACAGCACCTTATAAATATAGAGGTGATGATAAGTTTGATTCGTCAAAATAGGTATCAATTAATTCAATTTTTTGTTGTAGAGCTGTCCATGTTTTTGAATCAAATGTAATTCCTTGTGAAGAGTGGTTTAAAAGTCGAATAACAGGTAAAGGTGTACAATTTTCTTGTAGTTCAATTCCCACAATCACTTTTTTGAAAATGAACTATTTAATGGATAAATAGTTGGTAATAATAAATGTAAATTTTTTCTGTGTGTTGTAATGTCACGTGTCATAAACAAACGTTTTGCAACAGACCGTGTGATTTTTTTCTTGGGTGATGATATAAGAGGTATATTTTCTTTATTTGACTGAGAATCAGTAAAATCTTGTGTATCAATTTGAGACATGGTTAATACTTTGATATCTGTATAGTGACTGAATGAAAATATTTTTTTCCCTCTTATATAGAACGAAAAATTGATTGGTAGGGATAAAAGTTTGAAAACGGTAAAAACACGTTTTTAAAATTTCTAATTTAAATATATTTTCAAGATCGGCATCTGTTTTAAAAATAATGTGTAACAAACCGATTTTTAGAATACTTTTAATACTATTAAAAAGCAAATAACTGTTTTCAAATTCTCAGAAAAAAGTTGTTTTTTTTGTGTAACAGTAATAAAATAACCATAAAAATATAAAATATTGTTTCCAAAATTTAATTAAAAATAATTGATTTTTGAAATATATGTAATATTTAATCTTTTAGAAATGGGAAAATTATAAATTAAGGTTAATGTTTCAAAGAAAATCTTTTGAAGAATACCTGTAAATACTTAAAAAAGACTGTTTAAAATTTTTAAGATGAGAAAATCAATAAATTTTCTAAAGAAAAATATAAGACGGAATGTAAAAAAGACAATAAAAAGATCGAAACTTTCCGATTGTCAAGATAGTTATGATTAAAAATGTATTCTTTTACAAATGGGTAAATTATAAATTAAGGTTAATGTTTCAAAGAAAATCTTTGAATAAAAGCGGCAAGTAGTTAAAAAAGACCGCCCAATAGTTAAACTTAACAATTAAAAACAGTCGGCAGAGTCGGCAGAGAACTAGATAACAATAATATGAGAAGGATGCAACATTGTTCTTTTTTCATGGTGGTTAAAATTACAAAAAGTAAAAAAGAAACTATAGAGATCAGAACGTTTCATTGTCAAGACGACTGCATTGGAAAATCATAAAAAGTGAAATTTACGATAGGGTGATATTTAGCTAAGGAGGAAAAAGGCTTAAAGTGAGGTACCTGTCTGCAACCCGAAAGAGTAATACAGACGGCGCCACGTAAATAAAGAGCGGAAAATTTCACCAGGACCATGGAGACACTCAAGGGTTCGTGTCGCATAGTGGCTGCTCTATTATTTTCCAAAAATGATATTTGTGTGTTTTAAAAGGTATATGTATTAGTAGCCAATAGGATTCGAGTAAAACTTAACATAGAAACAAAAATAATGTTTAAAAAGTCCTTTTCAGAGTAAAAGATTCAGTTTTTACGAAGTCTTCACCATGGTAACACTGGGTGACTTGACCACTGTTTTAGAAATTTTAAATTTCGACGAGGAAAAGAGTTTAAAAATTTTTCATTTAATTTTGGATAATTGTGATGATGCGGAATTGTTACAAGTAGCTCTCGAATTAAGTGATATTAATTTAATTCGTTGTATCCAAAGTAGATTAGAAAATTCAACGGAAAATTTCAAAGTTTTAATTAAAAGACATATAGGTGTGTGAAACTTTATAAATTTTTTCTAATTAAATTTAGTTTTTATAAAATAATTTGAATTACAAATTTTTAATTTTTAGATTGTTCAGTGTTTATATGAAAATAAAATTGAATTTCTTGAAGTGATTTATAAAACATGATTTTTTAGATTTTATAATTTTTCTAATTAAATTTAGTTGTTTATAAAATAATTTAAATTACAAATTTTTTAAAGTGTTAATTTTCAACGTTTTTAGTGTTTTTATGAAAAATATTGAATTTCTTAAAGTGGTTTATAAAATGTATTTTTTTTAGATTTTATAACTGTAAATAATGCAGTTGGTGACGAGGATGCAATCGAACCGATGGAACTGAATGACAATGAGGATGTGCAATCAAATGCCTCTACAATACCATACAATGGAGAGGAATGGTTTGATAATGAAAATAGAGAAGAATCAGATGCCAATATTGATGACGAAGAAGAACGTTATTGACGTTTATTACTTGAGGATTCAAGTGATGAAAATTTAAGTGATGACGCTTCGAGTGTTCAAGATTCCAGTATTACGACGGATTCAGGATTTGAAACGTCGTATTCAATTTTAACATCGGAAAGCGAGCACACAGAGGTGAATGAAGATGATGATGATAGCGAAGATGATGAAGAAGAAGAAGAAGAAATAAACGAGGAAGAAGAAGAAGTAATCGAGGAAGTAGTAAATAAAGAAGTAATGCAGGAAAATGAACAACCAGATGAGGTTATGGAGCCTCAATACTACAACCAAGCTGGAGGCAGTAGAGATATCCCCAGAGAACAAGGTCAGAATAGATTTTTTACAATACAATGGGAAAGAAGTGAATTTATTTCAAAATTTAATTACGAGGGTTTGCATGTTTGTTGTAAAATTAAAAATCCACCTCATGATAAGTCGGTTGTTGAGGATATTAGATATCTTGAAAAAGCAATCCGTGCTATATACAATTATATAATACGAAACGTAAATCCGGAAAATATGACTTTAATCAGTTTTGATTCATGTCATATTAAGCACGGTCAAGTATTACAATTTCGTAAAGCAAAATTGTATAGCGCTGATTCTTTGTGGAATCTTATATATAAAATTGTCCAAAGCAATGAACAATTTAGGGTTGATAATTCATTTACTGTAATAGTAAAAAGCGTGAAAGATAATCGCGGTAGTGGGGGGAAAGCAATGGTTTACAATGATATTAACGTTCGTAAAAAATCATTGTTAACTATTAACAATAAAGATAATCTTTGTTTACCTCGTGCTCTCGTAGCTGCGCAAGTTAGCGCAGCTCTCGTAGCCACGCAGAACGTGGCTTGTTAAGAAAAGGTGAATTACATAAACGTTGGGAACTTGTCAGACACCCTGCTAGATCACACCAGCTTGTACTAGCAAAAGAACTTGTATAAAAGGCAGGTATAATAATACCTGAGGAAGGTTGTGGTATGGCGGAAATAATTTCTTTTCAAAAATATTTGGCTCGTGAAAAAATAGCTATTTTCGTTCACGACTTTAATAATTTTGGACAAGCAACAAAGCCTTTATACTACAATGGTACCCATGAAATTACAGATATTGGTGAAACTGTTAAATTTAATTTGCATATAATGTTTTACCCTTTGCAAAAGCATTATAACGTGATTTTAAATTTAACAGGGTTAGCAAGTACTCAATTTTTTTGCGTGCCATGTAATAAAAAATTTAAAAACCCAAATGGACACAATTGTTTAAACAGATGTACTTCTTGTTTAAAATCTCCTGCTTGCATAACAAAAGTTGAAGATGACAAAATTGTAGAAGTACAATGTGAGTCATGTAAACGATTTTTTAATGGTATGAAATGTTATGAAAATCATACCACTAAAGGTTCGTTTACATCGGAAAGTAGCGTTTGTAAGAAGCTACGTATTTGTGATGGTTTTGCACGTTTGATTAATCATGGTACTGAAGAAAATCATGAATGTGGTCGTTTCTTTTGCAAAACGTGTTTATGTAAAAGGGATTACAATCATGATTTTTTTATGGGTACTCTGAAAGATCAGGAGAGAAAAAATGAGAAACCTACTAGTTTCGTTTTTTACGATCTTGAAACACAACAAGGTCAAGAAATGACAGGTATGCCCAACGTTAATGTTCATGTGCCTAATCTATGTGTAGTACAAAGAGTTTGTACAAGGTGTATTAATGAGACTAATATTAATATAAATTGTGGTAATCGACAAATTATTTACCGTGGTTCAAATGTTGTTTCAGATTTTGTGAATCTCGTCACAATAAAACAAACAACTTTTGAAAGTGTCGTGTGTATAGCACATAATGCTAAAGCGTTTGATTCGCAATTTATATTAAAATATTTAGTTGAGAACACTGGTACGCAAACAAAACCTTGTGTAATTATGACAGGTACAAATATTATACTAATACAGGTTGGGCACACAAAATTCATAGACAGTTTAAATTACCTCCACTTACCATTGAGTGCGTTACCTGCTGCGTTCGGATTCTCGGATGTTGCAATGAAAGGGACATTTCCTCATTTATTCAAGACCTTAGAGAATAGCGAGTGCAGTAATAGAGAAGGGTATATAGGCTGTATACCTGAGGCCAAATTTTACCTGTGGTATAGAGAAATGACAAATGACAAAAATTATGTTTTTAATTTTTGGAAGGAGTTAACTGATTATTGCGTCAATGACGTCACAATTTTACGGTTAGCCTGTTTATCTTTTAGAGAAATTTTTTCAAACGTGGTGGATTTTGTCCATTTACAAAATGTGTCACAATTGCTTCTGCGTGTATGACACTGTTTAGAAAAAAATTTTTAAGAAAAGACACAATAGGTCTTCCTCCAAACAAAGGGTATCGTGTGTCAAATAATCAGTCGAAAAAAGCAATTAAATGGTTATTTTGGTTAGAACACACGCTACGTAAAAACATAGTACATGCTGGAAAATGCCGTGAATACAGACTAAAAGAAGGCATGCTAGTGGACGGTTACTACGAAGAGCCTAGGAACGGAGAAAGCCCATTTGTAAAATATGAACGGACACGTGTCCAATCATCAAAAATATAAGCAGCAGGTTATGTATTAACAGAAATGTGGGAATGCCAATTCGATGAAATGAAAAAGGATAATTTAGATTTAAATAATTTTTTGAAAAATAATAAATTTATTTACGAAGCACCTTTAAATCCTAGAGATGCCTTTTTTAGTGGTCGAACAGGTAATACTGTCTGTTTTTATGATATAAAAGATGGTCAAAAAATATCTTATATAGATATTTGCTCATTATATCCTTATATTTGTAAAACAGGTAAGTTTTCCATTGGTCATCCCGAACTTTACATAGGAGAAGAGTGTAAAAAGTTGATGGGTGATGACGTGTCAGATGTATCAAAACTTGAAGGTTTGATAAAATGTATTGTTTTACCACCTCAAAACGAATTTCATCCGATTCTCCCTGTACGCATGCATTCAAAACTCATGTTCCCATTGTGTCGAACATGTTGTGAAAATTTGCAACAAAGAGAATGTGAACATGAACCAGAATTTCGGGAAATAAAAGGTACATGCGTTTCGGATGAATTAAAAAAAGCTATTGAGAAAGGTTATAAACTTATTAAAGTTTTTGAGGTTTGGCAATACAAGACAACAAAATATGATTGTCAAACCGGTCAAGGTGGGCTTTTTTCAGAGTATATAAACATGTGGTTTAAGCTTAAACAAGAAGCTGGAGGTTGGCCTCGTGAATGTGTTGACGATGCGTGAAAAGAGCAATATTTGCATAAACATTTTAAGGTCGAAGGTGTACAATTAGATAAAAATAAAATTTGTAAAAAATCCAGGTCTTAGATCTGTTGCAAAATTGTGTTTAAATTCTTTTTGGGGAAAATTTGGTCAAAGAGACAATTTACCTCAAACGGAAATTGTACATGAGCAACAACGACTCATGGAATTATTGTTTGATTCGCAAAAAGTTGTTCATAATATTTTACCAGTAAATGATGAAATATTGTATGTAACTTTCTCGAATCAAGAAGGTAAATCGCCAATTACAGAGTATACAAACGTTGTATTAGCTGCGTATGTAACAGCTCAAGCACGTTTGAAGCTCTATTCATACCTCGAGCGGTAAGACAATCGTGTCTTGTATTACGACATTGATTCGTGTATATATGTAAATAGTATTAATAATAAAAACGAATATCAACTCGAAATTGGTAGTTTCTTGGGTCAAATGACGGATGAACTCGCTGTAGAATATGGAGAGGGTAGTTATATAGAAAGCTTTGTTTCCGGTGGACCTAAATTTTACGAGTATAAAGTGATTGATTGCAAAGGTAACATTCATTATACCTGTAAAATTAAAGGTTTTACATTAAATTATGAAAATAGTGAAAAAATAAATTTTCATAGTTTAAAAGAAATGATTGTCGATAAAACTGTAAATTCTCTGCAAACATCTTCACGAGTTATTCGACGAACGCCATATCATGAAGTGATAACATGCACAGAAAACAAAGTGTGCAAACCTGTAAACAACAAACGCAGATGCTTAGAAAAATATGACTCAGTAGCGTATGGGTTTAAAAACAGAACATTAAATTTATAAATAAATAAACAAACTCCTATTGTCGCAAAAAATCCTTTTGATCTTGACCTTTGGCATATTGTTAACATGTTAGTTGAATACTTTTTATTTTTTAAGTCATAGAGTAGAATTTTATAAAATTTAATAATTATTATTAATTTGTTTTAGCAACTTATTACTGGGTGTATGGTTACTACAATCCGATGATTCTTCTGAATAATGAACCACAAATGCATTGTGCAACAGCAACTCAGTCGTCGTCGTCGTCGTCAACAATGTCAGTTCTATAAAACGTTTAAAATACTTGTAAATATTGTAATAAAATTAAAAAAATTTAAAAATGTGTATAATTACATATTAAATATCTTCATATTTTTTTTCACCTTTCACCTGTTTTTATAAAGTAATTGGTAAAATATTCAAAATAATTATAAAAATAACAATTTTAATAAAATAAAAATAAATTTTTTTATTTCTACATAAATAATATTAATAATAATTTAAAAATTTAAATTTTATAAAATTTAATCAATAAATAATCTTGTTAATATTATAAAATTCTAAAAATGATATATATTAATAAAAAAAAGTAAACACTAAAAACTCGACACATGAATTTGTAGGTTAGTTTTCTATATACATATACACAAGAAGTTTAAAAACTTAAGAAATGACAGAAAAACGTCTTAGATAAAATAGGTTAGATTTCTGTTTACAGTTAAAAATAAAGAAAGAAATTGTCTTTTTTTTATAAATTTGGAAAATATTAAAATAAATTTAAACAAAATTTTGATATAAATTTATATATGAATACTTACATGTTAAATGTTTGAATTAATTTTCCATTTCTCTTGATTTTTAACAAGGTATTAGTGAAATATTAAAAATAATTTTACATATCCAGTTGCAGAATATATACGGAATATTCAATATCTGTATTTATATAAAATTCTAAGAATATAGTATACACTATATTCACTCATTTGACATTGAATGTAAACACTAAAACTTGTCACGAGAATTTTTGGTTAGGTTTTTAATGTATATTCACAACGAGTTTAAAACTTCATGTGAACCAGAAGTATAAAACCAAAGAGCAGAAACTTATGAGAGTGAGAGAGACGGTAATATCAACCTTTCTCTCTTACACTTACGATTTCTGTTTTCAGTTTACGTATTCTACTTACATAGGACTACGCACTAAGGTCCTCTTACATGCAGCACATTGGTTACGGCGGGCGGCGGCGGAGTCAGTAAGTAGCGGAAACACGGATTAAACAAGCTTGTAATAACCGCGTGCACATGCTAATTATATTTTAAATAAATTTCTTAGCTTTTAAACATAATGTATCAGCTCATGAGATTAAAGTCAAATTCACTAGTACAAGGTTGTTTAAAGTATTAAGAAGCTGGTAATATGTTACTAGCTAGTAATATGTTACTAGCTAGTAATATGTTACTAGCTGGTAATATGTTACTAGCTAGAGAGAAGTAGTAAATTTTCTCAGTTTTATCATTTTATTTACAGAAATATATATATATTAAAAAATGCAAACGTTGTGTTATTAACACGTAAGACTTACGTTTCTTACCGGTACGTATTTACAAACATAAAGAGTGATTCAGAATATGGCGTTTATATATATATATATATATATCTATACTTGTCTATCATTATTGTATATTATTAAGGTCAGCGTATTGCGTTGCGTTTTGTAACTAGACCATGAGTGTGAGAGAGATGCAGATATATGTTTGCTATATTTGCACCTATGTATATTTCTGTTTTTGTCTATCTTTATTGTATATTAGGGTCAGTCTAAATATATATATATCTATACTCGTTACGGTCGGACCACATTCACACTTTTGTTCGTGTACCTGAGGGTGGAGTCCCATGACAGCGTTTTGCGTTGCGTCGTAATGGGAGAGAAAAAGATGCAAATATACGTTTGCTTCATTCTCACTCATTACAACGCAACGCAAAACGCTGCCATGGGACTTCACCCTGATTCACCTATCTACGTGAAACATTTCTTAACTCGTTACAAAAACATGGATCCTCGTTGGAAGCATCCGTTTACTTCTATGATTTGTGGCCCAACAGGCTGTGAAAAAACATTTTTCGTTAGAAAGTTTTTGAAAAATAGAAACATAATGTGTGATGTAATATTTGAATGAATTATTTTCTATTATTCTGAATGGTAAAATTGTTATGCAGAATATGGTAAAGAAATTGAATTCAAAGAAGGTCTACCACAATCTACTGATTATTCCGACGACACACGTTCGAAATTAATAATTATAGACGATCTTATGCGTGAATCCTCAAATAATACTGTTATAGACCTGTTTACTAAAGGTAGTCACCACAAAAATTTAAGTGTTATTTTTATTTCACAAAACCTTTTTCATCAAGGCCATGGACAAAGAGATATTTCGTTAAATGCTAATTACATAGTTGTTTTTAAAAATCCAAGAGATAGAGCTCAAATTCAACATCTAGCTAGACGAGTATGTCCAGAAAATTCTCGATTCGTTCAAGAAGCTTACCATGATGCAACCTCTCAACCTCATGGATATCTACTTTTCGATCTGAAACAAACAACACCTGACAACTGCCAATTCAGGACTTACATATTTCCTTCCGACCCCTACCACTACGTTTACATACTGTCGAAGGGTATAAAATCTTGTAGAAGTAGTACATTTGTTCCAGTTATGCAGTTGTAATGAAGCCTAAAACACGTAAAATAATAGGCCACAAAAATGCCTTAACGTTAAAAGCCCTATGTTTATTGGATGCTAAACAACGATCCGCTGTACTAAAAAAAGCAGATAATAAACTTATTAAGTGTATTTGTGAATGTGCCTTAAATATTTTACAAGGGAACGTGTTTTTAAAAGATTGTGAGAAACTAAAATTAAAAAAACACAAGATTGCTCTGAGAAAGTTAACAAAGAGAAAAGGTTCTTGGAAAACTAAAAAACAGTTTATTCTTCAAAAAGGTAACGGTTTTCTACCGTTTCTCATTTCACCAATATTAGGAACATTGCTGTCAGCCATTTTTTCCTCGACATTAGGAAAGTCAGAAAAATAATATGGAACACACAAAGAAAATGGTTCTTGTATCTAATGATCGTTTAGAACAAATCGAAAAACAGCAACAGCAACATTTACAACAACAAATTAAAAGTGAAAGTAATCATGTTGTACCATCTACTCAAACCCCTGGAAATTTGTTGAGTAGACTTGATTCAGAAATGAGTAAAATTCTCTACTCAACATATCCTAATAACGACGAACATGAAAAATGGAAAATGTATCAGCAAGTACTACAAAAGTTTTTATATTTTATCGATCAAAAAAGAGATCCTATTCCGCCATTAAGAACAACTAAAAACGACGATACAGCAGCTGTTTCTAACGAGGGTATAGATACTGTTGACGAAAAAATTTTACCCATAGAAGACATACTAAGCACTATTCCTAAAACATACAAAAATAAAGGTGCGGCGTTATTGAATAGATTACAAAGTCCTGATATTCAATCAAGATTCCGTTGGAAAAGAGCTGGAAATGTGTTTATAGATGATATTCTCGTTGAAGGTTCAAATATAACAGATTTAATAAACGACGCTTTAAGACATAGAAAGACAGTTACGGTGCCAGGTAGAAGACAGTTCTCTAGTTTTTTAAAACAAATTAATATATCTAGAGAACTCGTTGCCAATAAGGAATATTGGGAAAAGTCGCCTCTGTTAGCGACAACAACACCTTTGCGAAGAACAACTCCTTTAAAAAAACTAACATTTATTATTAAAAGATCACTTGAGAGAAAAAAAGTAACAACTAAATCAAAAAATTTAAAATCGAAAGAAGACATTATTACTGACGACGATTCTACAGGGTCTGATAACGAAGAAGGAAAAAATAAAAACATTGTAAAAGTTAGTTGGTTACCTTTTTCTTTTGATTAGAATATAAAATGGAGAATTTACACGAAATATATTACGATCCATTACACCCTGCTTCATACTCTGGGTCAAATAAAATTGTAAAATTAGTACACGGTAAAGCAAATAAACAAAATGTTGTAGATTGTCTAAAAGGACAAGATGCTTATAATTTACATAGACCTACAAGAAAAAATTTTCCTAGAGCTTTCTATAATGTTGACAGTTTATGGGAGGCTGACTTGGTGGATTTACAAGCTTTAAAAAAAACGAACAAAAATTATGCTTATCTTCTAGTTGTAATCGATGTACTAAGTAAGTTTGCCTGGGTTGAACCATTACACAATAAAACAATGTCAGAAGTAAAAAATGGCTTTCAACGAATTCTCCGAAATAATAAAAATCGTATACCGTTATGTCTTCAAACAGATAAGGGAAAAGAATTTGTCGGTGCTTCTTTTTAGAAATTTTTAATGCAGAAGAATATAAAATTTCGAGTTGCTAGAGATCCAACTGTAAAAGCAGCTGTTGTAGAACGTTTCAACAGAACCTTAAAAGAACGTATGTGGCGATATTTTACACATAAAAATACACATTGTTATATAGATGTCTTACAAGATTTAGTTACTGCTTACAATAATGCACATCATTCTAGCATAAATATGTGTCCTTCAGATGTTACATTCTACAACTCGTCAATAGCACGTGAAAATATTTGAAAACGCTTCCCGATACAGAGATATGCTAAAAAAAGATGTAAATACAGCGTTGGCGATTTGGTACGTGTCAGTCGCGCTAGAGGAACCTTTAAGAAAGCTTATGAAGCTGGATGGAGAGAAGAATTATTTGTTATAACGCGTGTTATAAATTGGAGAGAATATTCACCCACTGTTTATGAACTAGAGGATCTATCTAGAGAAAAAATTGATGGTGTTTTCTACGAACAAGAATTAGCTGATGTTAAAAATAAAGACTTAAACAATGACGAGTTTATTGTTGAAAAAATAATACATACCCGCGGAAGAGGTTTAAGAAAAGAAGCTTATGTAAAGTGGGCTGGTTATCCGGCTAAATTTAATTCTTGGATTCCGTTTTCTGACATAAAATCTTTAGAATGAACCACGACCTGTTTTATATTCTACTACCTAGTGATAGTAGTATGAAATATTTTCCTAATAACACCATTACAAATTTCACAACGCAGCTACCACAAGAAATACGTTTACAAGGAAAATGGGTTGTAGCCATCACTGAAATTCAATTCCCACGAACATTTCTTCATGTACGTACTGAATCTCAACTAGAAAATAGAATTGTGCTTTTATCAATCCAAAAAGGTAAATTAGATAAACCAAAAGAAAAAAATGAGTTTTTCAATTTATCCGATAATAAGGAATTTAATGGCTTATCAGTTTTAGAAAAATACTCTCTACCATTAAAAATTCCAAAAAAAAGTTTTACATTTGATAAGTGCCACTCTATCAATAATAATGTCAACACTGGTTACGAAATACTTCATGGAGAATGGTTAAAACCTATAGTATCTTTTTTTCCTCCAGATATTTACAAAGATATTCAAAGTCTTCTATATGCTATAAACAATACACCTTCTCTTAAGGAACACTTTCAATTTGAATATGATGATAACAATAATCGTTATGTACTACTAAAAAAAACCTGTACTGAGAAATGTGTCATACCTGGACGTCATTTTCTAGTAATCAGCAGAAAAATTTCAAAAATATTGGGCTTTGAACCTTTAGAACTCATACCTCTACATACACAGAGAGCGTGTCAACCTCCAAGCCTTTTATATGGAATACCTCAACAGTTATTCGTTTATTGTGACGTATGTGAACCAAGAATTAGGGGTGATGTTAAAGCACCTTTATTACGAGTTGTACCTGTAGACACCAAAAAATATATTTTTGGGTCAACTCAAGTGACTCAATCTTCAACTCCTAATTACATACCTGTTTTAAACACAACATTCAGGACAATAGAAATCGATATAAGAGACAACTTGGGACTTTCTATACCATTTGAATCTGGTTCATTGACTGTGACACTTCATTTTAAAAAAATCAACTAAACAGGAACTCTGA